CTGCTCTTCTGTCCGCTCCTGGCCTGCATCTGGCAAAGAGCGAGCGCGCTCAGAGCTGAGGGTGTGTGGGAGAGGTCGGAGAACACAGCCCAGGACTGGGCTCCAGGAGCAGGGCCAGCCCCGGGATGCCCAGTGGATGGAGCACAGCTGCCGGGAGATCAGCCCCGGCCCCTCTGCCCCCCTCCCTTTCCCTGGGCATGTCCAGAGGGGATGGGACAGGATGAGGCCAAGGGGGCTGCAGCCACCAGCCCTGTGGCCCAGCTCCAGCACTCACCCTCCTGTGGGGGCTGCACCTGCTGCACCTCTTCAGGCTGCTGTGCTGGAGCAGCCCCAGGGCTTTCCTCCTCCTCCTCCTCCTCCTTCACCCAGGCCAGCTTGGGCACCGTGGGGGGGCTCTGCTGCACGTCTCTGTCTGGCGTTATGGCTGCCTGCAGCAGAGATGCCATGGAAAAGCTTTGACTCCCCAAGTCCTGCAGTCGTGCCTTGAAGGCAGCTGCAAGAGAGAAGCCTTGGAAATGCTCCGCCTCATCCAGTCCCACCCTCTGGCCTCGAGGGCACCTGCCCCAGGGACTGGAGATGCCTTGAGTAGCCCCAGGTGCCCAAGTGCCACAGTCTGGCCTGGAGGATGCACGGGGGAGAGGTGGAGAGCTGCCAGAGCGAGCAACTTGCCCAGCTTCCCCCGAGAAATGCTTCCCTTCCCAGCACACTGTGCCCGCCTCAAAGGCTGAGGGGGCCCAGCGCACCCATCTTGGGGGGCCACAGGCTGCTTACTTCAGCAGAGACAGCTCTCTCCCCAAGAAAGTCCAGGCTGGGGGCATTGGCCAGGCGCTGAACAGGCGCGGCATCAGTGCTCGCCATGCCCTCCGTCGTTGTGGCGTCGGCCTCCTCCGTGAGCCCAGGTAGTGCAGAGTCACAGTGTGACACGGCATCGCTCCAGGTGGTGTCCCAGTGGGTTGTGTGATCACTGGTTGCGGTGTCACACTTTGCTGTGCCAGCAGTCGCCGTGGTGCTGACATCAGGCTTTGGCTTCAGCTGGGTCGGGATGGTGTCAGGCTGGGCCTCGACATCAGCTGATGCGACCCTGGACTTCCTACGCCGACTCCCCACGAATTTCATAAACGTCTGCAGGAGAAAGAAGGGCAGGAGAGAGATGGATGTCCCCTGGAGGGCTGCGACAGCGGTGCTGGGCTGAGCAGTGACAGCAGGCCCAGCCCAGGAGGGGATGGCTGCAGGTACCTGTGCTGCCCTGCGGAAGCGGCCACGGGCACGGAGCTGCTCTTCTGTCCGCTCCTGGCCTGCATCTGGCAAAGAGCGAGCGC